GAAAGGTGTAATGCAGTGAAAATAAGTAGTCCAGTCAATTCTAACCCTAGTTTTGACCAGCACAAGGGAAGATTCAAACAGCCCCTTTCCTCATCTGCCCTTTATGCGGGCGGTGAAGAGTGTACTCTGCAATGTGTCTTTTGCAAGAAAAATCACAAGTCAATCACCTGTAGTACCATTACTGAACCAAAGGCCAGAAGAACTATACTGAGACGAAGTGGCAGTTGTTTTGTTTGCTTGAAAGCAGTGCATATTACGCCAGGGTGTCAGTCAAAGGTCAAGTGTTTTAATTGTGGAGCTAGACATCATGTGGCCATCAGTGAAAACCCTAAGAAGCCTGTCCAACCTAGCAGTTCAGGGGCTGAATTAGCATCACCCAGTAGATCTGAAACTTCCCAGGAGAGATCCAGAGATGTTGGAACATCAACAATGCATGTTGGCAGCAATGATAACTCTGTACTGTTGCAGACTGCCCAAGCCTTTGTTTCTAGACCGGGTAATCAGGAAACTGGAATGTATACTCAAGTCATTTTTTACTCTTGTAGCCAGAGATCTTATATAAACAGCAAGACACGTGAGCAGTTAAACTTATAGCTACTGTTGGTAAGGAAACCTTGCTAATCAAAACATTTGGTGACAACTCAGCTTCTGTAAAGGAATGTGACATTGTGCAACTGTGCATCAGAACAATAGATGCAATGAGTGTGTGCGTCACTGCTTACGTTGAACCAGCAATATGCAGTCCAGTATCGAACCAAGAAATTCAAAGTGCAGTAGAATGCTATCCATACCTTCAAGGGCTACAGCTTGCATGTGGAGCTGTTAGTGGAACAGTTAGTGTTGACTTACTAATAGGAGCAGATCACTACTGGTCTTTCTTCACTGGAGGAATAATCAGGGGAGATCCTTCTGGACCTGTAGCTCTTGAGACCAAGTTGGGATGGATACTGTCGGGACCAGCTGCAGTTCCAGCAATGACGGAGTCATGCACCTTGAATCTAAGTGCTATACATGTTTTGAAGATTGCGTCAGCTGACACCAGCCGTGGGCAAGATGATTTGCAGAAATTATGGGACTTGGAGACCTTAGGCATAAGGGACACTGAAAGTTCAGTTCATGACAAGTTTTCTAATGAGATAAGATTCACTGGTGTAAGATACCAAGTCAAGCTACCANGGTGAAGAGTGTACTCTGCAATGTGTCTTTTGCAAGAAAAATCACAAGTCAATCACCTGTAGTACCATTACTGAACCAAAGGCCAGAAGAACTATACTGAGACGAAGTGGCAGTTGTTTTGTTTGCTTGAAAGCAGTGCATATTACGCCAGGGTGTCAGTCAAAGGTCAAGTGTTTTAATTGTGGAGCTAGACATCATGTGGCCATCAGTGAAAACCCTAAGAAGCCTGTCCAACCTAGCAGTTCAGGGGCTGAATTAGCATCACCCAGTAGATCTGAAACTTCCCAGGAGAGATCCAGAGATGTTGGAACATCAACAATGCATGTTGGCAGCAATGATAACTCTGTACTGTTGCAGACTGCCCAAGCCTTTGTTTCTAGACCGGGTAATCAGGAAACTGGAATGTATACTCAAGTCATTTTTTACTCTTGTAGCCAGAGATCTTATATAAACAGCAAGACACGTGAGCAGTTAAACTTATAGCTACTGTTGGTAAGGAAACCTTGCTAATCAAAACATTTGGTGACAACTCAGCTTCTGTAAAGGAATGTGACATTGTGCAACTGTGCATCAGAACAATAGATGCAATGAGTGTGTGCGTCACTGCTTACGTTGAACCAGCAATATGCAGTCCAGTATCGAACCAAGAAATTCAAAGTGCAGTAGAATGCTATCCATACCTTCAAGGGCTACAGCTTGCATGTGGAGCTGTTAGTGGAACAGTTAGTGTTGACTTACTAATAGGAGCAGATCACTACTGGTCTTTCTTCACTGGAGGAATAATCAGGGGAGATCCTTCTGGACCTGTAGCTCTTGAGACCAAGTTGGGATGGATACTGTCGGGACCAGCTGCAGTTCCAGCAATGACGGAGTCATGCACCTTGAATCTAAGTGCTATACATGTTTTGAAGATTGCGTCAGCTGACACCAGCCGTGGGCAAGATGATTTGCAGAAATTATGGGACTTGGAGACCTTAGGCATAAGGGACACTGAAAGTTCAGTTCATGACAAGTTTTCTAATGAGATAAGATTCACTGGTGTAAGATACCAAGTCAAGCTACCATTCAAGGACAATCAGCCTATGCTGTCAGATAATTACACAAATGCATCACGAAGGTTGGCAACTGTGGTGAAGAATCTTAAGACCCAACCATTAGAAAGTGGAGTAGTTGAAGAAGTGCGGCAAGATCAAGTCCTAGAACCTGGAAATGTACACTATCTCCCACACAGGGGAGTTGTGAGACTTGACAGAGATACAACAAAGGTGAGAGTTGTATACGATGCCTCATCTAAGGTGTTTAGACCAAGCTTAAATGACTGTCTGCATGTCGGACCTTCATTAAATTCTCTTCTACTGGACATTTTGCTGAGATTTAGAGTTCATGAAGTTGCTGTAACTGCTGCTATTGAGAAGGCATTTTTGAATATTGAGATTGATCCAGGACACAGAGACCTTTTACGATTTCTATGGGTAGATGATGTCCATAAGGAATCACCTGAGATTAAGTTACTTCGCTTCACAAGAGTTGTATTTGGAGTGAATGCTAGCCCCTTCATTCTCAATGCTACTATCAGACACCATGTTAATACATGTATGCTGCATGACAATGCTCTTGCACTTGAGCTTTTGAAGTCTTTGTATGTAGATGACTTCGTTTCTGGGGCCAAGGATGTGTACAATGCCTTTTCTTTGTCGAAGGAGATAAAACTCTGTCTCAAATCAGGAGGGTTCAATATGAGGAAGTGGAACAGCAACTCAGCAAGTCTTTTGCAATCCCTGAAACAAGATGCAGCCGTCTTTGGAGACTTTGCTATAAACAGTAAAGAATGTGTTCAAGAGGAAGATGAAAGCCTCTCAAAGTCAGTTTTTAAGCAAGGCTAAGCAAGGTACTGAGAAAGAACAGAAGGTCTTGGGAATGCTTTGGAACCCTAACCAAGATGAACTGATCTATGACTTGATTAAGGTATTGGAGGGTGTGGACGTTCAGCCAGCCACAAGAAGACTGATTCTCAATACTGCTACGAGACTCTTTAATCCCTTGGCGTTAATATGTCCAGTTGCTCTACCCTTCAAGATTATGTTTCAAAAACTGTGCAAGGCACAAAGGGACTGGGACGAGTTAGTGGATACCGAACTCAATCAAGAGTGGTTGTCAAATTTGTCTGACCTAAGACTAGCTGGAAGAGTGAGGTTTAAAAGGTGTTACTCTGAAGGTCTCGGTGGGAATGAAGTTAAATCGCTCCAACTTCATTGTTTTGCAGATGCGTCTAAAAAGGCTTACGGAGCCGTTGTTTACATGAGAGTAGAATATGAGTCAAGAGTTGAATGTGAGATTATGGCGTCAAAAATCCGAGTAACGCCGTTGGATAAGCAAACTATACCACGTCTAGAACTCTTGTCTAACCTTACTGCGTCAAGATTGGTGAAGAGTGTTAATCAAGCTTTAGAAAACGTTGTGAAAGTTAATGACGTAGTCAATTGGACGGATTCTATGATTTCTTTGTAGTGGATTAGTAACATTGATAAGAATACAAGCAGTTTGTGGGGAATCGGGTGGCGAAATCAGACGAAATTCGCCACCTGAGCAATGGAGCTATCATGGTTACGTTGTGAAAGTTAATGACGTAGTCAATTGGACGGATTCTATGATTTCTTTGTAGTGGATTAGTAACACTGATAAGAATACAAGCAGTTTGTGGGTAATCGGGTGGCGAAATCAGACGAAATTCGCCACCTGAACAATGGAGTTACTGTCCTATGTCAGAACAGAAACACTGATTTCCCTATTACCTTCGTGGGAAATGCTGAACAGGAGCACGTTAGTGAACATTAAGATTAAGTCATGAACAGCGAACTCTTTTCCTTTCATCTGTTATTCTATTCCTTTCACTGTTGATTGACTTGTGTCAATCCAGGCGGGGAGTGTGTTAGAAAATTATTGCGTCATTGTGGCGGGAAAACTCGTCACGTGATCTGGAAACTCGGAAAAGATTGTGCCTTTGTGGCCAACTGGTTACAAGGAAAGGGCTTAAACAAGCTTTGTGCCTTATTTGAAGGTATTTAAATTTTGACTTTTGTAATATTGGATTCAGGCTTTGAATATATGAACTGATATTAATACAAAGAAATACCTATACCGGCGATTCAATACAGCAATATAAAGCTCAACAGAGGTCGATTACTTTGACATGCCTCGTGCATGTTTATTAATAAGGTGAACGATGATGCATGTCAGTGAAGGGTCATGATAGGTGGGATTTTTTTATAGGACGCTTCGTATGTTGCATGACACAAGAAGAAAGGCTGAGCATTTAGTGACCTTGTAGCAGCATTTTCCGTCGCTTTGCACGAGACGTTTGTTCGTAGTAAATACGCTAACAGTGTTTCTCAGTTTTTGATATATTGAATGCGAATTATTTGCTGTATTTATGAAGATTTTGTTGGACATCTGAAGGCATTTGGCGTTTCTGCCGTCCTTCTGTCATTTATGTGCCTGTGAAATGTCCTCGGGGTGGGGGCATTTGATTACCTGAATGGACCCTAGTGTGGGGCATTTGAACGGCATTTTGGCCCGGGGGGAGTTGCCCGGGCGGGATGTTGAAGCTTGGATTTGACCGATACATAAACTGCCAATTCTGTAGTTAAGGAAAGCAAAAACGCTGTTTTGTACGACGTTTTTAAAACCATATAGAACCGTGTGCGCACGTGTCAAAATGGTCACGTTACGCCCCTGACATAAGAAAAAAAAAAAAAAACTTTGGAACACCAACACGGCGGCTGCCGTTTCATTGTTTTGGGACATCAAATATAGCTGCCATGACGTCAACAGCGGAAACTGAGAGGACCTGGGGACGAGGTTGCGCTATTAGAGATGTCGCTCATTTTGCGAAGAGAAAATCGAACCTCTGCCTAAAAACATACCAAGAACAACAAAAACACAACTAAACAGATGACAATTGCTATTTGATGAAGACTATTTGCTGCAATGAATATTTCTTCGTATCCTCAAACTACCGAGTAACAGGCAAATCATGAACATAGATCCATCAGTCATGTTTGGAAAATGTTTTCCTTTTTATTTCTGTTTTACGAGACTGCGACTTCAAATCAATTATTTATGTCGTGATCTCTCGAGCCAACATGATAATGATACTACTACTACTACTACTACTACTACTACTACTACTACTACTACTACTACTACTACTACTACTACTACTACTACTACTAATAATAATAATAATAATAATAATAATAATAATAGTAATAATAATAATAATAATAATAATAATAATAAGTGCATTTCTCTATTTCTCTATAAGATAAAATAATTACAAACTCTGCTTTTTAAGTGATTTTGATTTTTTCTTTGAAGTTTCAGTGAAGATTAAAATATTGCGTAGGGTTGCTATTTGCAGTGTTCAATTACAGTTTCTTTTAATAGTGATTTGTATATTAATAGGGTTCGCTGAAATGATACGAAAAGAGAGTTAAATATGATGATCAATAATAAACATAAATTGTTTTACCAAATAAAAACCCCCAAAAAATCTGTGACGGTAACTAGTATGTTATGATCTCAAAGACACCTTTCCGCTGTTTACAGATCGCACTCTTCTGAATAATAATATGTTTAATTTGTATATTGCACACTAAGAATCGAAGACGAAAAAGAAAAAAATCAGACTTAGCGCTTAAACTAAAGTCCTATGACTAAAAAAATAAATGCGATCGAATTTTTACATAAAATTGTATTCTGAGTTGTACTGTTGTATTCAGAACAGGGAGTTAACGCGAAGTAGAAATCCTGGCAGGAGAGGAGAGTTTTTTTCAAAAATGAACTTAGCAACGACTACGGCAACGGCAACGGCAACGAAAAAGCAGAAAAGCAATAGGTTTAGATTCGCAAAACAAAAACATGACACGTGCATCAAGCTTCCTTACATTTCTTTGCCGTGGCTGCACGACTACAACGTGAAATTAGAGAGATTAAGAGTCAGGTTTTCGCCAAACGTGAAGTAGTACCACATGACCAAGTTTTCCCCTTAATTGTCGTTAACTGTTTATTATTTCTACTCAAAAAATAAGCGGTTTCATGCCAGTGCTATCCATAAGAATTTTCCTGAACAGTTTTTATCTGCTTATTTTCTATTCTGAGAAATTCTTAACTTGAATTTGACGTTTGCCTGTTTGCCGTAAACGTGACTCTTGATCTCCCTAGTGCCTAATTTCACGTTTTGTCGAGGACGCGAACACAAGACGACGACTTTCTTCTTCTTTTCCTGAACTTTGATACAGTCGTTTAGAATTTAACTTCAGAAAAAATTGCCAACATTTAACGAATTAAACGAGATGGAATAAGCGCGATGAAGTTTGAAGTAGCGCGAATTCACTTTTTAAGTGACGTTTTCGTAGCCGTCGCCGTCGTTGGTGCTAAAGCTTCCTTTTGATAAACAAACAGGATTTTGAAAAATTCAGGTTCCGGTTTGACTCGTTTCCACTATCTTCGAAACGACTCAGTCACTTCCACATATTAAAGCTGCAAAAGAAAAAGGCCATGCTTTTAGAAACGCCCCAGTCAAAAGAGTCTCTCTAATTAAGACGTATTTGTAGGCTCAACATGCACTGCAATCGAAAGCTTAGAAATGGTAACTTCACTACAACGGCCTACTTTCCTTTCTTCTCGTCTTCTTCCTCAGCGCATTTACTCACTGTCAAAGGTCTTGAAAACAATGGAATTATTCCCGCCCTCTACTGAGACCAAAATGCTTTTAACCTTCCAGTAAAATGAGCAACTCCCTACAACAGTCTCTGCAGTCTCCTTGTGGAGAAGGTCCACTGTATTTCATAACTTTAACTGCACTTCAGTTACAGCTTTAGTAATCTGTGATTCACCCCATGTAAGGGAATTCGGATTTCGGAATCCGGCAAAGTTGTTCTTGTGAAATCCAGAATCCGGAATGCGGAAAAATTTTGATTCTGGTACCCAAATTCCTTGGCTTTGAAATCCCGAATACAGCTAAACGAATCTGGAATCCCACTAAATCCAAGTTCCACTGACGAAGACTGGAATCCAGTACTAGGAATCTGGATTCTACGGCGTGGAATCAAGAATCCAACTGACTTTCTTGGACTCCATTACATGGGGCGAAATCTTATTGATCGACTATTTCAGTGTACTGTCCTTTCTCTTATTTCCTCCGCATCAAGTTCAATATTAATTCAGTCTCTAACGGTGTAACAGGTATCTGGACAAACTGGAGCCAGTTGTATCCTTGCTTAGCTTAAATTAGCTTAATTAGGTTAAGGAAATCAAGTTACCTGAAAGAAAAAAGGATTCCCAGTATAAAGACAGACGAAGAAAGTGTTACAGCCGCTGAAAAAAAAAATCGTGATGTTAGTAAGAAGAATTTAAATTAAAAAATTGCTTGCTTATTATCGACTGACATACTTTTCACCTCCTATGCAGCCATCTTGATCCTGGCGTTTATCGTACGGCGTAAGTCGAGTCATGAGAATGTCATTACTCTTAAGGAAGCTGAGCATAGTTTGATGGGTTGTGAGTCGCATCATTTATTGGGATGTTATAACTAAGACTTGTGGCAGGTGTAAATCTCACATTTGGTACGGACAAAATGTATTTATAAATAAAATTTATTGGGTTAAACGAAAGGATTTCGATCATTGTCATGGCGACATGGATGATTGAAAACAAGCCTATAATTTTGAATTTATTTAGGTTTACGTAAAATTCAGCAATTGCATGGGGCGACTCCTTCATTCCTCCATTTATTGTAATGATACACTTTTTTTTAATGTAACGTAGATATTTTTATCATAGTTTTTATCTTCTCAAATTGTAACATAAGATATGTAGTTTTATCTTTTGGTGGAATAAAGACTCATTATGATCATTATTATTATTATTATTATTATTATTATTATTAGTCAATATATTATTTTTTCTTACCAACATTTGAATCACAGTATTTGACACAATCACTTGACTTTTCCATTTTCTTGAAACCGTTACAGCTGTATCCAGCTTTTGGCTCGCATTTGCCAGCTTCTATCACAAACGGACCACCTCCTCCCTGTGAACACTTTGCACACTCGCCATCTTTAGCTTTCCAGTTTGTGAGCTTTACCCCTAGAAAGTTAAAGGCTAAATAATGCATTCCACAATTTTTGTTCCAAGCCTGTATATCTGGAATGACCTACCCTTCCCTTTAATAATTATTAAAGATCAGGCATCATCCCATGAGGACGGACAAAGTGGTCCCTCCCGGCCATCTTTTTGCAGCAAAGACGACGAACACTATTTAGATAAGGCATTGCCACAGGCTTCCCAATAATTATCAAGTACTCTCTGATGTGAGAGTTTGACCTTTGTTGGGATTATAATGCATTAAATATGCCCTTTCAGCTTAAAACCTTCATTTGAGATCCCAGCTGGTGCTTTCTTGTAGGATGCTGTTTCTGTAGTTATTGCTTCTAGCCGTGAACAAAGACCTCTCGACTGAATGTGACTTACCAAATGCCTTGAATTCTATGATTTGAAGACCTGTAAAATATTTGCCAGTCTTTACTTCCTTCATAAATATGTCTTCAGTGAATTCAGAGCCAGCTTTCTTTAACACCATGCAAAGTCGAAAGGATAACATCACTCTTCTTGTTTTTTCTCTTAGCGACAGATCCGTTACTCGAACATCACCGTATTTGTTTGTATCGTTGTATCGTTGACTCATCTGTAAGTAAATTCAGGATATTGGGTGAGAGATTACTGTTTTAACGGAGTTTAATTGGTAGAGTTTACGCTTTTATAGCAAATGGTAATCATCCAGTCTCGAAGTAATCCTCAGTCGGATTGGCAATGGTGGGGGAGGTGTGTTTGGAATTTCATAACCTGCAGACGTTCTTTTTGCTTCCCAAGCATGCTTTTATGCATAGATCAAATTTTGTATCACCATTACCTCGCTTTATTTGGGTTTTAAGTAAAATGGAGTACATTTAGTTTATTCAAAATGGCAAATCCAAGATGGCGCATGTCTCCAGCCCTTTTTTTATGATACAAGTCGTCATCGTCACTGCTATTGTTAAAGACCATAAGCGTGTCAGCCAGCTTCTTATTTTTAATCAGACACCTTGCTATTTCAGTATTTTTCGCTTATGGCTACTTTGAATAGAATTTGAATTCCACCAATTCAATAATAATAATTCAATAATATGATATGACAATGACGTCAAATTACGTCGTTGTGTCAATCATGCCAGTTATGCCTAGGTGTTGGAAATGATCAGTACATTATTCTGTGTACAAGGCTTTTCAGGTGGCCGTATTCATGGTCAATTTTAAAGTTATAGAGGGGAGCCCCTAAGCCACCCCTGGTCGCAAGATGCCAAAAAAACCCCGACTTGAACAGGGTTAAAAACAACAACAACAACAAAGCGATACAGTTAGTCTTCTACCAACGGGTCACCTGGCTACAGCAGCAACGTTCATTAAACAACTTCTACTTACTGACTCCTCGGTCATGACAACAGATAACTGCATCAATTGAGAGAGAAAGGCTGATACTTTGTGAGAAAGTCATTACTTTCCACAACAAGTTATGGCATGAAAAATGTTTATGACTTACTGACGCTCGTGTATGATCGATACGGAATCTGCTTATAATGCAACTTTCATTGTAAATTACAGAGCCACTCACCACTATCGCCATCCCGAGCTTTAGTAACTTGAACTCCCTTGAGTTATTGCTTGCGTAGGAATCATTCCATTGGAAATTTAGTACAAAACTGACGGAGACACATGCTGACGATTGAAAATAATTCAAAACAACAGTGTTGACCATCAAGACAGAATCATCTACTTTTGATTCGGTTATCTGGCATTCGGTCTATTCAGTTTCGGCATATAATAATGGCAACTAAAATCGTAGCTTTTATCTTTTTTGGAATCTCTCATAATACACTCTGTTTCGCACGTGATTTCATGCGATTTGTTTGTTGGAAAGTAGACGTTTAAAACTTGGTCTACACTCATAGAAATGGCCTCAAAGCTTTTCTAATTCTTGGTTTGTAGCCACGTGACAAGGCGGCCATGTTGGAGGTCCGATACAATATAATTTTTTCTTGAAGAATTCACATGAAAATAGAGTTAAGTTCCCAGAGGAGAGAAATGCTTTTTTTCTCGACCTCCAACATGGCCGCCGTGACGTCACGTGCAAACCAGCAATTGTAAGTCCAGAAGCCACAGGCGTTTGGTTTTGGTGCTGAAATGACAGTCATGGAAAAACGGATTATTGAACAGTTTAATATCAAATATTAATGGTGGTTGTATCAGGGAACTCAACCAGTGTATCTACTTTAATTTTCTTATTTCTTAATGCAATATATTCTTGGTTTTCTTACACTTTGTTAGAGTTGTCTTAGTGGGGACCACACTGGTAGAACTTTTCACAGAGACTGAACTGCTCATAGCAGCCACTGTGGAATGAGACGGAGAGGCTGTTGGTGTTGGGGTCATCATCGGTGTGTTAGCCGCAGGCTGTGAGGATGAGGTCGTTAGAGAAACTGTTTGTGAAGATGACATTGATTGCAAAGATGTAGTATTCTGTCCAGATCCATCTGGAAAATTAACATACACCTTATTATTATAGAGCAGTAAATATAACAGCAGATTTTAAGAAAAAATCGGATTATTTAATTTGCCAAGCGTTTTCTTTGTGGCCACTTGCACATATATATTAAACAGTTTTGTAATTATTTCTCGAAGGATTACTGCCGGCTTCTGAGCTTTTCAAGGACAAACCCATGCTTTTGTAAATCCCCACACAAAGCTTTTTCAAATGTTATTGATTTTTCAGTATCAACCCGGCGGTGACTGAACTCTGCGATGTGTATTTTTGAAAACTAACTCAAGAAACAAGCATTAACCTCTTCCATTTATAAAGCTCTACTCTATACGAAAATCTTAAAGGGATTTTACTTTACGTGGACTAAACAGGATCCCAGAAAAAAAAATAAACGCTGCATTAATTGCATGTTTAGTATTCCGGATTTTAAGATCCGTGGCACAAATTCATTGTTTGTCATGTGTTGCTAAGGGTCTATTCGCTTAATTAAGAATGGCAAGTTTTATAATACACAAGACAGGAAAGACTGATATTGTTTTTACTCGGCAAAAAATGTGATTTTTTCCTTTTTTTAATCAAACTGATGAAAGTATCCGAGGCTTCTTCTTTACATTAAGCCAAAAGACGTTGCACTGAACCCTATGTTCTCTAAACTTTCACAAAATCTGAAATGAAAACATGCTTTTATCCAATTAATGCAAACAAAGTTAATACCTCAGTTTTCTTGAGGTACAATAGTTGGTCGATATTTGTGGCTAACTGGTTGTTTTTCATTTAATCTTGAAAATCGTGAAAGTTTTCGACGAATGGTACTCGCTTATTTCAAACATATTTTACGACCAGCGTAAATCCCCGTTTCCTGAGTGGTACGACTGTCATCTCAGAGATTTATTCCTACAATAGATTCGGTAATGGAGAAGTTTCAAGTCCTCAAATGCTAAAACTTATTCAATTCATTATATAAGTAAGTCAACTATCCCTTTAAGTTTAAACCTAATGCCAAAATCATGGGCGGTTGAAGCCAGTTCCGGCTACCGCAGAGTGTTTCTTAAAAAAGAAAAAAACGTCCCCCTTTTTGCTGCAAAGATACACCTTGGGTGGCTTTTTAGCCCTTCTGTGGCAGAATTCTTGTCGTCAAATTTCCCAAATATATCTGCTATAATTCTGTACCCTCTTACCCAGTACAATTTTCTGACAGGGAAAATTAAAATGGTCAGTACCAAGCTTTACTTGTTACTTTCACATGTTTATCTTTAAATAAGCATTTAGTCGTCAACCCAAGGGAATCCTAAATTAAAACGTCTTTGAGGGTCGAAGTTATATGCGAGGTAAAATTTATTTCTTGCCGTGTTTTTATAGAATAAACAATTTATTTGTAAATGACAACATCAACTACCTTTTAAGCAAAAAACCACCAAAATCACGGTCGCCATGAGCGGTACAGCAGACATTTTCACTTGAAATTCTTGTCCGGGGTGGGGATAAGCCCTTGAACTCGAATGAAAAAATTACACTGCAGCGTTTGAACTGGTTCTACAAGAATAAGGTGAGACTTCTCTTGACCTTTTAAATTTGCTCCCCAGTAGCCTGTTCAATTTCATTCATGCGTTTCTATGTACTCAGCATCAACGGTATATGCATACTTATTGCTCAAAATAACAAGCTTCATTGTCTTCAGTGTAAACTATCTGTCACTATCCGTTAATGATTTATCGTCCAAATTAAAATCGGTCCTTGTCTAACATTTCGTTTGAATCTTGATACATGTTGATAAGCGTACTTTAAAAGTCTAAATCTGAGAAACATGATTATCACTTTTCAAAGAACTGAACTAACCTTGCACTTACATCAGTGTCAGTCCCATACCATCCTTTCAATTCAATTACCGAAACTCCAAAACATTTTATTAAACCAAAGAGATAACAACTTATAGGCTAGCTAAGTAATCTGAGCTGAAGGGATATTTTGCACCATTATTGTTTGCACATTTTGTTTACTTTAGAACAAAATACTGAAAACAAAATGACAGTTGCTAAGCTGATCGGATAAATGGCTTCATTGCAGTCTATGCTGTTTCACAAAAGGAAATGGATGTCCAAACTTTGCAGAGCATTCACTTTTCACCACTAGAAAGTCAACCTTACCCATATTTTTTTTTGTTGTCAACTAAAGTTAACTATGAAAATTGCAGTTTTAGCAGTCTTCCTGCAGCTCTCTTCCACAACACGAACAACAGATAATTCATTTCTAAACAAATCAAAACACAGTTTTCACACCCAATAATCAAACAACATTTATTCGTTACACATTTTCTGACATAAACTGATCGCTGATATACTGTAAAACCTCTATATAACGAAGTCCTTGGTATAATGAACAATTTTTCTCACCCCAGTAATGGTAAAATACACGGAAAAATAACCTCAACATAACGAATAGGCCTCGTTATAGCGAACAAATTTTACCAGTCCCCTTGGCCTTTGTTATATCGAGGCTCCCCTGTATAATGGCCGGCGAGGTTGCTTATTAGTCACTCGCAGGCTATCAATCATTTTGGGGAAGCATTTCGTCTCTTTCCTTAGAAACTTTACATTGAGTTGCATTACGGCAAAACGTCTACCACGGTTTAAAAAAAAAAGTAATATCGCCAGATGTAGAGAGAACAGGCTTTTGTACATTTCGCCGGCATTTTTTTCGAGCATTTTAGAAAGGCAAAAGCATCAAGCATTATTCGAGTATGTTAGTGGCATTTTCCTGAAAAATATACTTTTTTTCCAGATAAAATAAACATGACCCTTGAAACATTAGGATCATTTAAAAGAAAAAGCCTCTGTACAATGAACATTATCCAAGCATTTTAGGGGAAAATGAATCATTAAGAAGGAGCATTTAAATGGGAAAACAAAAGCATAATGTACAAAAGCCTAAGAGGGAACTGCTTCAGTCTTAAGTCGTTAATTATAAGATATCCAAACGTCGAAAGCTGAAATTGCAGCTTTTTCAAAACTGGGTAATCTTAGCCGGGACAAAAGCCATAAAAAATGACGATGCTTACACGTCCCCTAATAGATCTGATACATTTCTACATCCTTATACATCCTTGAGAAGAG